ACGTAATTAATGTTTAAGATAGCCAAGTGTTTTTGAGGGCTTCGTTGCTAGTTATGCAGTTGTGAAAAATCTGTTTCGAATATGTATGCTGAGTAGTGTTTAGTATATAAACAAAGAGAGGCGCGTGATTAGAGTATTCAAGTAATCCATCTAAAAATGGCAACGAGCAAAGCGGAAATAACGTACCGACTTAAATGTTGCATTTTTTTTAGCGCACAAATGAACGAGCGAAATGAACGAGCACAAATGAACAGTGATTTTCTTCCTTGTTTGCTAAAAAATGAAACATGAGTTACCAACATGCCCAAGCATATTCTTACCAGTAAAAGGAAATAAGTGTAAATTTAAGGGCTCGTTATCTGTGTTAAATAAAACCAAGTAGTAATTATAACTAACAGACATTAACGTCAATAAATGTAAACAAGATGATATTATAACATGAGCCACCGGCAGGGTTTGTAATGGCAATTACCTGCGCTGACTGACGCTGCTGCGTTCAAATGCCCGTATATACATTATAAAGTAGACAGATGTATATGGCCGCCACCACGGCTTAGTGGTGGAGCATCGGACGCATTATCCGAAGGTCGCAGGTTCGATACCTGCCGGTGGCGAGTTATCTTTTCGTCCCTCTTCGATTTCTCACTTACATTATACTTACTTTTAATAACACCTCCTTTACTTTGCTCGGCGTCTTTGCGTGTTAGTTATCACTAGTATATACTGTCTCTTACCAGTAAAGATTACAAGAATTTCGGTTGACGGGGACAAAGAAAATGGGCTAAACACCAAGTCGCATATGCAATTTATAGCTACGTTTAGGATAGAGGCAATGTTGAAACGAATGGTGGAGTCGTATCAGACAGCAAGAAGTGGAATCGAAAGATAAAAGCCCAGGGATAACAATCGATCGAGAGTTTTTTTCGCACGAGGACAATTGCTGAACTTGCAACAACAATTACTGAGGAATTCGCTCATATAAAATGCATATGCCGTCCGATAGACGCGTCATCAGCTGTCTCACCGTCTGAAGGAGATGGCGTAGATATACGCATGTGCAGTTGACGACGTCTATGTCAGGTGGCATGCATGTGCAATTTCCCCAGTAAGAGTATACTTGCTGTTTGAAGCTATAGGCCAGCGTGCCTGAGAACGCCTAGCTGTATTCAAGAATTTCGAACGACGATTATTCTCGCTTGGTGTGTTGATAGGATGCAGAAACATCGGACATATTTTGACAGAATATCAAGGTATCCATGCAACAGTCGAGGAATATTTATGCAGGCCTAGTATATTAAGTTCGTTGGCAGCTCGGGGAACATGCCCCACCGTGGTGGTCTAGTGGCTAAGGTACTCGGCTGCTGACCCGGAGGTCGCAGGTTCAAATCCCGGCTGCGGCGGCTGCATTTCCGATGGAGGCGGAAATGTTGTAGGCCAGTGTGCTCAGATTTAGGTGCACGTTAAAGAACCCCAGGTGGTCGAAATTTCCGGAGCCCTCCAGTACGGCGTCTCTCAAAATCAAATGGTGGTTTTGGGGCGTTAAACCCCACATATCAATCAATCATCAGCTCGGGGAACATAAATAAAAAGGTAGCTGAGGCTAATGAAGGGAGGCTGAAAAATGGTGGCGTAAAGTGAGGTAGACTAGATATTCTGTTTCAGTAAGTGCTTGAGGACATTACGAATAGAATGTCGTTTCACGATATCTGCATATCATAAAAATATCCAATAAAAAGCGTGGTGGCACAGGCCATCGTCGTAATCCAAAAAGCATCACTCGTCCATCTATATAAACAGGAAAGAGCCGTTTACATGTAGTATTATTGGGTGGAAAGAAAGCAAGAAAGAGATTGCTAGACCCTGTGACGTCATAGGGATCGCTAACAGTATGTGTAATAGAAAGAAGCTTGCGCAAACGAATCATGCAGACGAACTAAATGATGATGACTGGTGATTGACGAAGGTGGTTGTGATGATGACAATTGTGATCGCGATGACATGCCCGTGCAGATCATAGCACACGAGATGACGCATGGTTATGATGCTCAAGGCGTGAACGTCGACGCCGGTGGCCTGGTGCACCACTGGTTGACGCAATGGTCTCGCGTGAGGCATACCAGACTCATGCAATGCATCCAGCGATATCACGCCAAGGTCAGACACTAAAACTTAACCACAATTTATGTCCGTAAGGTTCTTTAATTGACACCTAAAATGGCTTTGAGGGGACACTGGTCGTGTCTCTCAAGTCGTCAAGGTATAGTACAGTAAATAATAGTACAGTAAATATAGGGTATAATATTTGGTCCGGTCTGACGAACGTGTTCACGGGATTTGTTCCCCTGCGTTGCCAAAATTTCAAAGTATGTTATGTTCGGCGAACGAAATCTTGTGAAATCCACGTATACTATAACCACGCTTTTTCTTCTGCTTTTTTAACTGATCCGATTGGGGTCGCTATACGTTGGGCCATACACCGAGCAGTTGCATAGGATGGGAACGAAGGACGCGGGTTCGATTTCCCAGCCCTAGAGGCCGCATTTCTATGAGGGAGAGATGCAAATAACACTCGTGTGCTTATATTTATGTGCAAGTTAAAGAATCCCTGGGTGTTCAATATAATATGGGGTTCCTACTACGGCGTGCCCCGTAATCAAGTAGTGGTTTTGTCACGTACAACTGCAACGTTATTATTATTATTATTATTATTATTATTATTATTATTATTATTATTATTATTATTATTATTATTATTATTATTCACGTTAACATATATAGGATGCGATTGAAGGAGCCTGCGAGTCTGAAACGTCGGGATAAGCAGCTCTATATAGATAAAAACATATGACGCCATGACTTTACGACACGTGTACCTCCTAGGAAACGGAACGCGATTTGACCGTAGACAAGCTTTTTTTTTTTTGCTTGTGGTTTTCTCAGGCGTTTGTTGTTTCTGCTGCTATGGACCTTCCGGGGTTTAATTCTGAAGAACTGCGTGTTTCTTTCGTGGAAGTATATGTATAGCTTGTTCTGTTAACATCACAGCTAAACGCATACATACATTACCCTACCACTGCCATAGCACAGACAAATCCTCTCCGAATTTCTTTATTTTTTACCTTTTTTTCCTGTAGCAGCAGTGGAACATTCTGACGCTTCCACGTTTGAAACTAATAATGCATGCTATTTTTCTATTTGAATTTTCGCGTTTCTTTTGTACCTCGCAGTCTCCTTTCGTGTGCCGGTTTAAATGTAGATGCACGCGACTACAGAGCTGCTGTTGCCTTTCGGTCATGTTTTTTTAAGATGTGGGTCCTTTTAAGCTGTGTTTCATTCACAGCTTCTTTTTTTCCGCATTCCACGTCATAGGTTTTGAAATAGTGTGAACGTACAACCATCATAGGTACAAATGTGTAAACAATGTCAGCACTGCACAAACGAATTCGGAAAATAAACTCAAACTCAAATCACGATATGATCGACGCACGCAGTAGCGGGAGACTTTGTAACAGTATCGACATCATGGGGTTATTTAACGTACACCTAAATTCAAGTGCGTCGGTATTCTTGTATTTTGCTCCCAATGAAATAGAGCTGACTCTGCCAGTTATGGAGCCCACGTGCCCGAGCTTAGCGGTGCTACAGTTACCGTTCTTCAAGTTATATGTCACGGTGGGTTCGACAATCGAGGTTGCAGGACTGTGCTTAACGCATTAAATAAATATCGCTCGTGTAACATTCGGGTTATAGAGAGCCAAATCACTTCATATTAAAAGGCCCCTGCACCACCTCCGATATTGTTTAACATTTCGAGGAAACACGCCCGCCTAGTTCAGCGTGCCGTCCCAGTCAACAGCGGCGAACGCGGCAGCGCTGCTCGCCTGTAGGCGAGCCACGGAATAATAATAATAATGATAAATAAACAATCTTTTGCTCCTTTCCGTACCTCTCGATATCCTCAGTGTTGGTCGTTACGTCAACGGTGGAGTCTGGTCATGTCAGCAGTAGAAAGAACATGCTTGTCTTTGTGCAGGCTCGCGCGCTCGCACGCTTTTCCTCCTCGCCACTCTTCGAGAAGTTGCGAGGAAGAAAAGTCGCACCTTCCCTTTCGTGTCAGGACCGGCAGGACCTGGAAAGCCATAGGGCAACCTTGGACCAGGCCGACCGAGCCGCTCGGGCTAATGGGGCCCTAAGATAAGGGCTCCACCCACGCAAACCTTAGTATATGCCGTTTCACTAAATGTTTATTCCTTCCTCCTCCTCCTTCAGGGGGAGAGACATGTCAACTATGGTTCATTCGATTCACCCAGCACTTCCAGAACTATAGTTCACGGCGTTGCCGTCTGGGTGTCGTCTTCGTGCAGGTGACGTTTCAGCAAGTGCAGCAATCACAAGACGCGGAAACGAATACGGGAGTGCAGATGTCGTGCAGCTCCTATATTGTCGGCTGTCTCGAGAGTTGTGGAGGCCGCGATTCGTAAAAAGACGGCGCCGCTTACGTTGCTTGGCTTGTGTCTACCGGAAAGTGTTCACTGTCGTACTTGTTGCACGTCGCTATAACAGATACGAATGCAATCGGCTGTGTCGTCAGCTGCAGTTGCAGCCATCTTGTACTGCACGGACTCGGCACTATCTCACGAGCAGGGAATACGTGAAGTAGCCTTGCACGACAGCTACACATTCTTTAGAAACGAATACTGCGGTGCCGCTGTCGTCGTGTTGAACTCGTGAAACGAATGCTGAAGTGCAGCGCCTCCTTGAACTGGTTCAGGAAGTGCAGGTGAAACAAATGGACCTTATGGTACCTAGATGAAACGAATGGAAAGAGCGAAACAAGCGAGTGCTGCATTTAGATGATGAAACGCGTGTTAACTCATCCGTTACGACTCCATTTCGCAATTGTCGTCTGTAGCTGCAACACCACAACTAAGTTTCCAACTCTAGATAGTTCGCGAGCTCATCAACGACGTGTGAACCAACCCTTTGACGTCCTTGTTCAGGTGAGCAAGACGGACAATCTGAACCACCACTCCTCCGAAAACCTGGCCGATTTCGTCGGGGCGCTGGTGCCGCACGTGGCGTTCAGCTCTCTTCCCGAACGCCTGCGTCGCGTCACGGTGCCCGGTGACTCCACGCTCAACCTGACCAGCGAGCAGCTGTACTTCGTGTCCCGCTGCATCATAGGGTGCACGCGTACCGGCTGGCAGGACTACGACGAGGGCAGTCACGCGGCCGAACGGGCGAGGCGCAATGTGCCGGCCATGAACATGCACAGCTTCGGCGAAGCCTTCAACTGCCCGCCGGGCTCCCGGATGAACCCCGTGGACAAGTGTGCCTTCTAGGAAGAAATATTCTTTCTGCGGGGAGGGGAGGTCCGTTAGGTGGCGTCCGGGAGTGCAGACGTGGCCGCGTCTGCTCCCGCTTCTTTAAATGTTTTCGGACATCTTTCTTGTGTTCTCCACCGATCCATTGGACTTTCCTAAACCAGTTTTGTGCAAGCTATCTCACGACATCGTTCTCGTTGGCGTGAGTGAACTTTTCGGCGAGTTTTTGAACTTCAAGTGTGCGAAGCGAGGGACGCGTCTCTAGGACTAACCACTCGGCTACGAGCACGGAGCTAGGGTTCACTTCGAGGCAGCGCCGGGCCTCGTCAGGCCCCTGCCGCACCTGACTAGGCAGCGAGGATGCCCGAGATGGTGACAGTTGAAGGCATGGATATCACTCCGGAAGATTTCGACGGAGCGGGGTGGACCACCGCCCTTGGCGCCCGGCGGAAACGAGATCCGGCAAGGAACGCAGCGTCTGCTACCGCTGCAAAGTCTACGGCAAACACAGCAAAGAAGCATGGTTTCAACGCTCGCTCCCTCTCAACAGTGCAGAAGGTTGTAGCCGCTTCGCGACTCCCTCGGCTGCCGAGAGACCAGATAAAGGTCATTGTACGGCCCCGCGGAGGGCTTGACGTTTCGAAGACGGACATGGTACTGCTGTCGAGAGCTCTGACTATGGCAGCTGGGCTCACTGACCAAGAAGCATCGGAAGATACAGTCTGCCCCAACAAGGTACAGAATATTCTTGTTATTTCGACTCCGGTCAGATCCAACGCAGTCGCATACGCTGGAATTCAGAAACTTCACACGAAAGTCGGCGCATTTGATGTTTCTGCCTACTTAGCCGCCCCGGAAAACACTTGTAAAGGCGTCATCAGGAATGTTGACCCCTCGATAGAAGAGCACACCCTCAGAGGCATGATTGTCAACCAACGAAACCCGACCGCCATTGAAGTCAAGAGAATCAAAAACACGCACGTTGTTGTGATACTCTTTGATGGGCTTCGAGTTCCCAAAAACGTCATGTGCGGAACGGCCTTAGTGCCGTGTTCCCTTTACAAACGCCAAGTCGATGTTTGTCACGCCTGCGGCCGAGTCGGGCACCGGGCCGACGTATGCCACCAGAGCAAGGCAGAGAAAAGTAAATGCCACAACTGCGGAGACGCACTCTCAAACGATGCTGCAGAAGCCCACCGTTGCACTCCGAAATGCAAGCTCTGTGAAGGTGATCACCCAACAGGTGACCGTTGCTGCAGCAAAAGATACCACATCCCATATGTCGTGCGACGACGCCGAAGACTAAGACGCCACCGCTCCGAGAAAGAAGCCAACGCTGACGAGGTTAACGACCTCGCGGACATGCAACCGGAGATGGCAGATGGTTCCACTCCCAAGCGGCGCTCCAGCTCCAGAGGGCGTTCCCGTTCCAGAGGACGCTCCCGTTCCAGAGGACGCTCCCGTTCCAGACGGCGCACCCGTTCCAGACGGCGTTCCCGTTCCACAGCGCACTCTCAATCCAGCGGGCGCTCTTGCTCCAGGGGCCGATCCTGGTCGAGATGTCCTGGCAAGAAAATGACCTGGGCCGACATGGTTCGCGACAGCGGCTCTGCACCGACAACACCGACAACTTCAAAGCAAGGTAAGGTACAGCCAGAGCATGTGGCAGATCCACGAATACACACATTAGAACGGGAAAACAAAGCACTCAAACAGGAACTAGCTGAACTGAAGGCAACTCTCGCCAGGCTAGAAGGACGTATCCTAAAAGACACACCGCCACCCATCCCTCAATCATCAGGATCTGTGGTCGCATCATGTAGCCCAAATAAACGCAGAGCCGTAAACACCGAGACAGATGACGACACATCAGACGTAGACGACTTTATGTCCGACGTCAGCGAAGCTCCTTCTAACGCCTTAGCTAGTGACAACAAAGCCAAAAAGCACCGCAAGACGAAGAGTAAGTTCAGTAAATTCCAATCAGCAATTGCCGACATTAAAGAGGCACTCATACAAATTTGCGGTAGACTCGATCGTCTGGAAAGACCAATTGCTCAACCCAGAGCCACGAGAAGAATTCCCACGCCGGACCCGGGGTCCATGTCTTCCCAGGGACCCCAACCTGCGCTGCCGACATCCCCTCAGCCACCAGGTCCAATAGGTGAAGCGAACACACAGGGGGTCATGCCAAGTCAGCACCATGGATAGCACACCACAATTTTTCAAGATCTGGCAATGGAACTGTAATTCATTCAACAAAAAGAAAGCTAACCTAACGCAATTAGTACGATCATGTAAAGAAAAACCACATGTCATCATTTTACAGGAGTGCGGGGCGGAAAAGTACATTCAAAACATGTCCTTTTCGGGGTACAGGGTTTCCAGGCCAACCCTGGACCCCGACTTCAAACAAGCCAGGGGCATTGCCACCCTCATCCGTAAGGACATCAGCTTTATGGAAAGGGACACCCCGACATACAAGAAAGGCCTGGAATCCATGATAACAGAAATCATTCCGAGTCGAACTCTTAAAGCTCACCTTTACATACTGAACGTATACAGTTCTCCGACCGACCGACTCAGGAACTTTACCAAACTCCTGTCATCGGCGATGTCGCAAGCCAAGGACCGGCCGTTGATCGTTGCCGGCGACTTCAATGCGCACAACAACGTTTGGGGCTACAGTACCAATGACAGGAAAGGTCTTAACCTTGCGGAGTGTGCAAACAACCTCAACTTGAAGTTAATCACGGACTCAAGGTTTCCGACACGCAGAGGCAATTCTGTTCAGCGAGACACCACCCCCGACCTGACGTTCCTCGGAAACGCGGAAGGGTCATGGGACAATCTGCAAGAGGACCTAGGCAGCGACCATTTCATCTTAGAAATCAACGTCCGTATCACACCCGCTCCACCTAAGACGTACAGATACGTCGACTGGGACCTTTTCCGAAGAATAAGGGGTAGCGAGGACAGCCAAGGGGAAACCTTTGAAGAGCTTCTGGAAAATCTGAAAAGTACGGTGGCAAAAGCCACTAAAGAAATAACCTTGGACCTGGAGGTTCCAGTCATGGACTCCAGACTCGCACACCTCCTGGAGGCGAAGAATGCGCTAAGACGACGATGGGAAAAGCAGAAGCTAAACAGGAGGCTGCGATCTAAACTAAGGGAAATAACCAAAAAAATCGAAGAACATTCCAGAGAGCTGAGTGCGCAACAATGGGATGAGGTTTGTAATGAGGCGGATGGTAAAATGAGACGGGGAAGCAAGTGGAGCCTCCTCAAAAACCTATTCGCCGACAGCAACAAACCGACCAAGAGCAATGCTCGAATAATGCTCGACAGACTCGTCCACCTGCACACGATTGAAGGCACTAGTCCTCAGGACTTTGCTAACACCCTGGCAGACATATACCTGCCGACAGAAAGCAAATCAGTCCCCTGGGACGACCCGGCATGCGAGTACAAGGGGACACCTCAACGCTCACTGGATCGTCCATTCGAGGTCTCAGAGATTGTGCACGCCCTTCATGGCCTTAACGGCCGCTCGGCCCCTGGTCCAGACGGATTAACTAACAAACTTCTCAGAAACTTAGATAACCAAGCCATACAAATCATTACAAAGAAAATAAACGAGGTATGGACGGCGGGCCGCGTACCGGATGAATGGCGAACTGCCAATATAATTCTCATCCCCAAACCCGGAAAACCGCTCCATGCCGAGAACTTGAGACCAATATCCCTTACTTCGTGCCTCGGAAAGGTCGCCGAACATGTCATTCACAATAGAATTGCAGAGCACATCGAAGCAAACAGCCTTTTTCGCCACAATCTCATAGGATTCCGAAAATCACTATCAACACAAGATGCCATGCTCCTTATCAGGAGTGCTGTGATAGACAATAAATCACGGGACGTAAAGGGCATCCTGGCGCTCGACATAACGAAGGCCTTCGATACGGTCAGGCACGAACATATCCTCAACGAAATCTCCAGTTTACATCTCGGAGAAAAATTTCACAACTATGTCAGATCGTTTTTGGCGGACCGTACGGCTACCATAAACATCGGACAAATCAGAAGCCGTAAGCACAAGCTGGGAAACGTCGGCACCCCCCAAGGGTCAGTGCTTTCGCCACTTCTTTTCAACATCGCAATGCACGATCTGGCGAACCGACTCTCGAAAGTTCATGGGGTAGGACACGTGATTTACGCAGATGACATTACCATCTGGTCCACAAGTGGCCCACTAGGCTCCCTGGAGCAGAACCTACAACATGCCCTAGACACCACACAAGCTTTCCTACAAAATACGGGGCTGAAGCTATCTACGAGCAAATCAGAGCTCCTTCTATGTAAACACGGCCCCAGAAAGGGACAGCTCCTTAGCTCCCTCCCCGTTCACCTACACACCAAGGACGGAGGTAGTATCCCAATATGTAACACAATCAAGGTCCTGGGCATGGTAGTTGGTGCTTACAGCGGTGACAACGCGGAGGCCCTCAAACGTATAGAGAAAAGTGTCTTCAACTTCACCAGGGTATTATCAAGGGTCAACAGTAGAAGGGCTGGTCTGAAAGAAGACAACCTCATGAAAGCATTTCACGCCTTTCTCATCAGCCACGTGACTTACGCCGCCCCCTTCCTCAACTGGAAGAAGACAGAGCTCAACAAAATTGATACATTAATTCGAACAGGATTGAAAAGGGTCCTGAGCCTCCCTCGCAACACTAGTACGGAACGACTCTTACAATTGGGCCTGCATAATACAGCTACCGAACTCTTTGAGGCACAGCGGCATGCACAGATTAGTCGGCTCTCACTCTCAAAGGCGGGCAACGAGATATTGTTTGAAGCCGGTCTTCAGCCTTTCTTCATGCCGCCAGAAAAGTCCCAACTTTGCACACAAGCCATGAAAGCGATAACAGTTGACCCGATTCCCAGAAACATACACCCAACCCACAATGAAGGACGAAGAAAAGCGAGAGCCAAGGCAATACTCGCCAAGATCATGT